ACATGATTTTTTGTTTCGATGGACGTCAATTGTTTCGTTTGCGCGCACAAAACGAACAAACAAATTTTTGCTTCGAAAATTGGCCGAGGAAAATATTACTATGTTTATATATTTTTTTCTTTTGAAAATACAAGAAAAAAAAAATTGAAATCGGTGTGGAAAAATCGGGTCGAATGTTGTTGTTGTTGTTGTGGCTGTTGTTCGTTTTGCGTCTACGTGCAAAGTCATAGCAAAGCTTCGAACGTCAAAAGCATGACTACATATATTTTTTAACTTCAATTCATCGTTTTTGTTGTAGTTCATTTTTCACAAATGAGCGTAATTTTTGCTGTTGCCATTGCTGTATATCGATGTTCGTTTGTTTCATATTGCTTCGAAGCTTTATACAATCGCCACTTGCGCGCACCTCACATAACATTTTCTAGCGCACGATTATTATTTTCAAACCGAGACTATGTTCAACATTTCAAATGAATTTGCTGTGCTCGGTCTCTGTGTGTGTATTTTTACGTAAAAGCAAAAGGCACAAATTCAACCAGCCATAGTAGTTAAAACAGAAAAATTCATTTACATTATTGCCTACACATCGAAATGAGCACTTTGCTTTACGATTTTCTGTGTATAATATTCGCGTGTTATGTGATAGAATTGACGCGGCCTGTCGGCCTGTTGTTCACTCGATCTGAACACATCGATGTAAAATAGAAGAATTATAGAAATAAAATGTGGAAAAGTTGAGTTGAGAGTAATAGTCACAAGCGCAAACAAGGACGGATGAATAGAAAATGCATCCCGAAGGCGATAAAGAGGGCGCTTTATTGAGTTCCATATGAGATAATGGTGTCTTAAGAGCTGTTTTTTTTCTGTCTCCCACAAAATGTGAGGCAAACCATAGTCACTGCTGTGATAATAATGAGAAAAAAAAAGCCAAACTGAGAAAGAGAAAAACGACATTAAACTGCGAAATGACAACGAAAAATGTTCTCTTTTTTTCGGTATCGTTTCTCTCGAAATGTGTGCACACACATTATTGTGAGTATGGTGTCGGCACAGCGGATTAGATGGGCTATATACCACAGTCACCGAAACCAAAGAGAATATCTCCAATGTTTGCATGAAATGGGCAACACAACAACAAGAAGAAGATGGAAATGAAGAAGAAAAAATGTGGGTACAAACGAAGCAAAAATATTAAAGTCCGGGTATTAAACCTTATAGCATTTATCACATATAAACATGGAGCTCAGAGTTTCGTTCGGTTCCGAAAATGATCTCTTTCCTCTGGTGTCTTTTCTCTGGTCGCTGTGTGTTTGTGTTTGCTCTCGCCTCTCTCTCTCTCTCTCTCTATCTCGCTATCCTCGGTCTTTCGATGGTACATTGCTTTATTCATAACAACGGATAGCAGCAGCATTTTCGTCGTTTTCATGAACCAAAATGAATGGTGTACCCATATAATACACAAAAGAACTACAATGAAAGTTCGTGCATTTCGAGGCAACACAAAAAGCAACAACAATAATGGCAATGGCAACACACAGCAACAGTGTTCATGGGCCCCGAGATATAAAGTGAGAAGAGTACCGAGGTGAATATATACATGTGTGTGTGGATGGATTTCCACAGAACACATTCACATAAATCGAATAACAGCATCAAAATAATAATAACAATAATGAATCCCATTCGAGCGAATGCTCCGCTCCGCTCTTCCCTCGCTCTATCACTCTGTATATCGTCGTTGTCGTTTTATTCAGTTTTCGCCTGCTTGTGAATGTGCCGATCGGGCATAAACAGTGAGGCATACAAGCTACAGAAGGGAACAGCGACAACGACGACGGCGACAGCAACGGCAGCACTCGAATGAACATGCACACGAAATGTATAATATTGGCTGTGTGGTTCACAACAGCTATGCACGTCTATAGTATGCTTGCTATATAGTGCTCTTTATTTATACTTTATATTATGCGATAGACGAGAGTACAACAGCACAAATGCACACAGGGCTACACAACAACATTATATTTCGAATCCCAATAAAATAAAACTCTGTGAGTCTCGTTCAGTGTTCAGTTCGTTTATTTAAAACTGCCGTTCGCATCAGAGAGACAGAGCAAGCGAACGAACCAACGAATGTGAAATAAAGGCGAGAATGCCAAAGTGCCGTAGATTCATCGCATGTTATAATATTATATTATATTGTCGTATATATATATATATCTACGGTATTTCTGCCATTGCTGTGCTCCGCTCTGTGTTCTTGTTCGAAATAAACTCTGTTTTATATTCCCGCTCGTTGCTTTTTCTCTCATTCAGTTGCGCGCCCGTCTCTGTGTTCTCTTGACGAGCAAACAGAATGAAAGAAAAGAAGAGAAAAAAAACGACAGCAACAACAACGACCGAATACGCATAACACACAGGAAAAAAAATCCAATATCAAAAGTTGTTGTTGGATTTTGAGCTCGAGCATACCAAGGAAATCGGTCTACGAGGAATTTGATCAAATACATCGGTTGCGCACCAAATGCACTACACGAACTAACAACGATTCAATCCGATCCAACAACGAACCGAATCACAACTTCGGCTTCAATTCACTATGCTGAATGTTCGAATGCTTTCTACTCAACTACACCACAGTGTTGATGTGCCACAGCTAAAACACGTTGTATTTTATATTTTATGCGCAGAGCGAACATTTTCAGAGTTATATTTTTTAATGAAAAAAAAACCCGAAGCAGAGAGAAGAGCAACAAAACGAACAGAATAAAGTAGAAGAAAAAAAAACACCAACAGCAACCCATAGAATAAAGTCGGCAAACGAAGCGAGATACTCACACAAAATGCTATATACGATATATTGAGCAGCGTTCGCTCTCTCTATCTTTTACATTTTGTCGAATTCATTCGTTCGTTTTACGTTTTCTCATCATCATCATCAACAACAACGATTCGAACAGTTTCTTCTTTCTCGTTTCGTTTGTGTTTCACTCCATTCGCCATTTGATGGTTTTGTTCCATCGCCTGATGCGCATTATTCAGATAGATATAAACATATATGTACGATGAGAGCTCTATACGTTATATGAACAGCACACATTTTGTGCCATTGCTGCCGTCGCTGCCGTCGTCGTCGTTGCCCGTACTGTGTGTTGTTTGCTTCGTTCATTTAGCTCGACGATGATATGACGAGAAAGAGATGTGGTCTCCATACGAACAAAAAATTCAATGTAAATTCTCGTGTGTCGTTCTCTCTGTTTTTCCCTTCATTCGCGATTGTCTGAATTGTAGTACTGTTGCCGTCGTCATTGCTGTTGCCGCTCGCTCTCTGCCTTTGCGCTCTGCTACAAGACTCTTCACCGTGATGTGCTTTGTGTTGCTTAATCGTATCTTATGACTATTCGTTCGCTTCGCTTTTCGATATTGTTTTCTTACTTTTATTATTTTTTTTCCTCTCTGCTTTGCTCCGCTCTGTACTCGCTACTTCTTCTTTTTCATTTTTGTATTCATTTGATTCTTTTATTCATTACGTGTATTTTCCTCTCTTTCTCTAGATATCATTTTTTTCTCTCTATTTCGTTTTGCCTTTTTTCTCCACTCTTGTTGTTGTTATTGTCGACGTTTGTTTCTTTTTTTCCCTTCAGTTTCTCTCTATTCGTTACACATACACACACATTTTTTTTCCTCTTCTTCTTCTTTTCATTTTATTTGCTTTCGAGTGAATATGCAGTGTGTGTGTGTTTTGTTGTTATTTTTTTTTTTTCTTCTCTTTACTTTATTTCTCTTCATTTGCCCATTCCATGAAATTAAAAAAAAAAAATTGCGAACATAAAGAGACTTTGCACAACACACAAAACACTCCGATGCCTTCATAAGACACCAAATCCGTTTTTTTCCTCTATCTCTCTCCGAAGATTTTTTTTACAACCGAAAACGGTAAAAATAAGAGAGAAAAATAAAATAAATGAGAAGCAAAAAAAAGAGAGAAAAACAACAGAGTCGAAGATTGTTTCCATACTCAAAATAATAATCAAAGCGAAATGAATGTCCATTGAACTACACACAACATACATCGCGGCATCGATGTGAACACTTTTCCAATTCCAATGCCCGCGACCCGAACGATCGCTCTAACAACAACAATGTAAGCCCGAATGCGAGCGGTAGATAGTTTTTTCTGATACATTTTCATAAAATTAAACTCCGAACGATCATCTCGTGGTGAGAGTATTCAAGAGAGGATGGATCGTTTATGAGCGCCCGTTAACATTGCAAAACGACACAATCTAATGTCGTTTTGTATATGTGCTCGAAAACGATCAATTCAGAGTCGTGTGGTTGGGCTGAAAGATTCTTGCTGAGAACAAGGCAAAACTCACTCACCGATCTCTTTCTATCAGAGATATCAGTGCGCACATAACACGGAACTTGCTCAGTACGATCCGTAATGAGTTTTGGGCCGTTGTCGATGTCGTTTTTTCGTTTTACTTGTTGTTTACTATGCGCGCAATAAAGTGAATATCACACAAAATAATATTTCTTTTTTGCGCAATCACCATGAATTTTCAATATCTTTTCTCTCTCTATTACGACTAACAACAATCGTGCTCGCGATTGAGGAAGCAAATTAAGAATGCGAGAATTGACTATGTATATGAGAAATATGTACGCAAGAAACAACAAACAAATCGAAAGAGAGAGAGAAAAGGAAAATTACGACTTTTATGGCTTACGTTTTAGTCATACAACGGTATATTATGATTAACAATGACACCGAATTTCCTTAAGCCATTTTCATATGCCAAACATTTCATCACCAAACATATTCATATACGACATATGCCTAGACCGATCTATGCTCAAAACGATCGATCAATCCGTCACATATATTGCTGAAGGTGTTTTTTCACGATTGAACTCACACACGGAGACCTTTTTCTTCTTTAAACACTCACACACATTCCAAAAAATCGCTAAAAAAATTTTTTTCTTTTTTGCAGATTTTACATAAAAAAGGATACCACAAATAGTGCACCGAAAACGAAAAATAATTAAGCAATTCGCGATCTTATTTTCGTTTCGAACACACAATTTTTCCGTTTTTTTCGGTTAAATAAACGATGCTAACATTAATTGAACATCTGGATGGAAACAGTTGCTCATCATTCAATGATTGAATCGGTAAGTAAAATCAGGACTTTCCAAAACTTTCCCAAAATCAGTGGATTCCTATTCGAATTTAGTGCAATTGCATCGCATAGATATACAACTTCTCACACATACACAACCAACGAAATTCAAATATTTGCGAAGGCTATAAAAGACTGTGCCAAATCAAAAGACAAACAAAAGGAGCCACAAACAGATAGATACGTATCTTCAGTCAATATCCAGAAAATTTGTTGAATTAATAATTACATTCTACTGATGATGTTATTTAAACAGCATCCACTCGCACGTGTTTCGAATTTTTTTTTAAATATACTCGATTCACTTTCTGTTTGTTTTTTCGTCGTTTCTTCCATTCATGAATTCATTCATGTAAACCAATTTTTCTGTATCTCTCGTTCTCTTTCTAAATTCGCAATCAGGAACTGTTTTTCACGCTCATCGTGAAATTAAACAACATGTATACCAAACAAACAAACAAAATACAAACAGAAAAGGCGGCAGCGGCAAAAGCCAAACAAGGCGCAAATAGATTTGACTTTTAAATTGAAAACAGTTAACCAAACACTTTGCGACAAAGCAAGCTCACGGCGTCTTGAATTGTGTCTGTGTGCAAACGAACAAGCAACCACACTGGCGAACGATTGACCGAAGAACATTATTCAGTCTCTATTCAATGTGTCATTAACGAATAAATGGCTTGACTTTTTCACAACTACTTGCCAAAAAAAGCGAAAAACATAGAAACGTATTCGCTCAAAAGTACTAATATTATTGCTATGATTTTTCCTTGAAAGGTGAAACCAAAGCCAAAGCATGAACAACAGGTGCATCAACTTTTTTTTTACTTGACTTGACTCGACTCATTTCGGTTGCAAATGTATACCGAATTATGTGCATATTCAAGTACACAAATTTCAATGGCTGGTTGTTTTCTCTCTCGTGCTAACAAATAAAAAAACAGCAACCGCTCATGAGTTCATTGATAAAAATGGTAATTAAAGCCCATTTAAAACCGACGAAAAAAAAGCAGCGACAACAACAAAAGCACTTGCCATTGTAATGAATATAAAAAGAATCGTTAAATCGTAGGGAAACAAAGAGTTTTCGCGCACGACGAAAGCTCAACTCAACACATTTCTTTTGATCTAGCTGCTTATGGTCCAACCGAACTAGATCTTATAAAGTCTATTTATCATATTTCAACATAGTTCTTTTTTTATTTCGTCTTTTTTCGCTGTCTTCATTCCTTTCATTCATGCATCCATCGAAAACAAATCGGATGGTTCATTGTGTGTTTGAGTGGCGCGAGCGCACACCAATTTGTGTACATAAAAGATTTTGTCATTTTACCCTTGTTCTTTTTGACAATTCGACCCGAAATTCAACTTTTTCCATTTGTCACTGCATAAAGTGATATTTCGCATTAAATGGAGGGTGTGTCTCTTTCGTTTTCACTATTTCGACGACGGATTTTCTCATTTTGTTCGCATATGTTGAAGTGTGTATGTGCATGCACTGTGCACGCTGCTTTAGCCATTGCATACATAGAGCCACGCGTTGATTTGGCATGGCATTGTTTCGCCATTGAGTAAGTGAAACAAGAGGAGACGAAAATGCACACGGGCCAAGTAAAAAAGTGAATTTGTACCATATATTTTCAATTGCACAAAAGTACACGCATAGAGAGAGAGAGATGCGAACAAATAAAAAAACGCATTAACACTCTGCAATCCAGATCGGGTATTCGTATTACGGTTGTCGTTTTTTTACTCTATTGTAAGCTTTGCGTATCTTGAATCAGCACATCCCTGGTATGCTACCATACATCACACAGAGGCATTGTCGTTTGTTCCACTGAATTTTCATTTTCCCCCGCGCACCATGCACTCATATAAAAGTGCGTATGCATTTGAATTGCACGCCAGCAATATGATTATGCTAAAATAATCAAAAGGCGAGGGAGAGAGTGCAGAAAAAAAATCCGATAAATTCGATGTGGGTGCGAATACAAGTGAAAGTTATACCAGAGAGTAGAAAACGTGAACGATTAAGTGAGATGTAGGTGCAGCGATACAGATGATTGTTGTTGTGCCGCTTTTTCGTGAATTTGTAAAATGATTGAAAATTATATAGGCCGTCACATTGACCAATTTTACGCCGTTTTTCGCATGAATTTATGCCCATCTGTCTAAAACCACTTCAAACATCTTAACCGTTTTCTGATGAAATACAACCGAAAATGGATGGAGTGAGGGATACAAAATGAATACCGAAAAAAATCATAAGTCCGTTCGTTTACTGGTCATTTGTTCCCTTTGAATGAATAATGACGCATTGCGTTAGAATGCACACTTTTTTGTTGTGTCGTGCAGTATTCGAAATACATAATCAATTATTATTATAATATATTCAAATGGCCACCGTCACCGTGCCGCATCGTCTCCATTGACACTTCTAGATCATTATTTTAGATAATACATGCAACGTATGTCTCATGGAGTTTTTCGATTTTCGGTTTCTGGTCTTAAAATCGAAAACGAGCTGAGTGTGAAGCGCGCGCTTTAAAATCGTTTCATACGGAGTGAAAAAAAATCGCAAAATAGATACAGCGGTTTATCATAAATGTATGCATGCAGTGAATGAATAAGCGAGTAAGCAAAAATGTGTTTAAATGAAGAAGAAAACCATGCATAGAGGGGTTGATTTAAAAGGATAATAGTCTATTTGAAGGTCGTCTGAAACATAATTTATTGTGCATGCACATATATTCCACCAACAACTACAGCCACAGCAAATAACCAAAAAGAGAGCAAGACCAAAAGAGACCCGCATAAAAGGACAAAATGTATAGCACAGCGTAGACATGCTAGACTTTTGTAGCCAGTTTCTCTTTTTCACTCTTGCTCGCTCACCCGCCCGGTTGTTGGCTCTGTTCTTACATCGCATATACCGTATATATAGATATGCATAGAGTCGAACTCTCGTCACTGTAAAATGCTTTTAATATATTCGGTCTATATACATTTTTCTATCAAATAAAAAAAAAGAATTATGTGTATATACAATCCATCTTGTAACTAGAGAGGTTGTGCACCATAAAGTCAGTGCGTTATGCGTGGATTCTGCTCGGAGCGTGTATTTTTCCATGTTGCGATTTTTTTTTATCTTTTCTACGTTTTACTCCAAATGCATGGGTGATGAAAGTTTGCACAAAAAACGGCTGATTGAGTAACTGTCTGAGGTTTTCGTAGGTACCGCCAACCCGAAAATGCATGAAATCAAATACGGCATTGAAAATAATCGATATATTTTATCCCAAACCAGCTAACCAATATTATTTGAAAGATTTGCTTTGTGAAAGAGACCGTTTTTCAATAGCATTTTACTTTCAGTTATGAAAAGCGACACTGTATCATTTTGGACAAAAAAGAAACCGATTTGAAACATGACATATTCAGTTCTCTACTCTCTTCGATCGATTTATTTATTATCATCGCCTAGAGAGACACAGAACGATAGAGAGAGAGAGAGTTGCTTACACATATAAGTCACTCCAAACCTTTCATGTGATTTTGTACCCTTTTATCGTCACATTTAACATGAACTCATCTTTCATTTTACACTTTCTGTGTAACCCTCTCGGCGCACTAATTCTCACCAAAAATGCAATAAATTATCCGATTTATCGAGATCCAGCCTAGAATTGGCAAAACAATGCACCGTTAATAAACCAATTTTGCAGGTGCATTTTTTCAACAAACTAAAAGCCTACCCGAACACTGACTTTCCATAGAACACACACACAAGTGAACAGTCACACAGACAACCGGCAGAGAGGTATATATAAATAAAAAAAACACAATGCAATATGCTTGAAGCCACTTGAAAACAAAATGTTTTATGTGTGAAACACTAGAAACAAAAAGTGAACACTGAACAAGCAATAAAGCAATGCCGTTGCAATTTCGGGTGTTAAATTATTGACATGTTGAGTTGTTAAGAACTGAATAATAACACGTCAACTTTTATGAATGGTCGTAACACACATTACGTTACATCGTAATCGATGGTGGTGCATGGGCACGGGGATAATTGATTGCGGAAGGAAGGATTTTCCGCTTTGGATAAGCAAATAGTTTGTCGTTTTTTTCATGTTATTTGAATATTGTTGTTTATTCATTGTAGTCTGCCCTTTAATGCACATGAGCGCGGTTTGAGCTACATTCAATTGACATTCACACTAGATTTATAAATAAAATTAAGTGAATCGATGGCATTTGTCCGCAACGAAACCGCAAGTCATAGAATATGCGCTCAGGAAAATTGATTGAATATATTTATGGCCTTCAATTATTACTACCCACATGTAGTATTGCAATACGACTTATTTCGAATAGATTTTTACCCCAGATAAATGTTTCAATGAATTTGAAATAAGTTACCAAAGACAAACATTTTGAATTAAACTAATCCTGTGATAGTTTCTGCAATCACATTTAGTTGATAAAATGCATCGATTCCAAACCGATTTATGAAATTGTTGTGTACTCTGCCTTTAATTACATTCGAAAAACGAGCATCTTGCAATTTTATCCAAAAATGAATTTCATTTTATGAGTCATGCCATGGACAACAAGGAAAGCGAGAGTCGGAAATATGTTAAGAAAGTTGCAAGTGCCTGCTGCTGTTACATCTCTACAAATTTCCCTTTTCTTGTTCTGGATGTCACTGCCAAAACGGAACAGAATCGAAACACAAAAAAGAAATGTTTACCCAAAATCAACATCATATGCTCGACTGTTGTCATTCAACTTACTTCCTTCTATTTTTGGAAATGGTATTCCAATTGCCAATCGTAGAGAGAATAGCATGTTTCAAATGCGAACAATAATACATTTTAATATATATACATATATACATCCAGTCGACATCCGTTTCTCAGCCAGTCAAAGACATTGAAGTGGAGAAGTATGGAAGACGAAAAATTCGGCCATGTGTTTCGAACGCAA